GTCCGCCCGCCGCTGGCCCGGCTCGGCTCCCCGCCCAGCGCGCCCCAAGCGCCTCTCACAGCCGCTCGCCCGGCGCCATCTTAGAAGCTTGTGACGTCAGCGCCACCCGTTCACCCCTGACCCACATCTGAATGGGCGAGCGGCGGGGCGGACTTAGGGGCGGGCCCTATTGTGGGCGGAGCCTCGTGGCGGGGCGGGGCCGACGAGCGGTCAGAGCGCAGGGAGGGGCGGGTGGCCGCCGGACAGCGCGTTGGGGGAGGGGCTGCGGGAGGACCCCGGACCCCTACCTGGACTGAGCTACAGGATCCGACCCCAGCGCCAGCAAGACAACGACCTCGTCCTCCAAATACTCGACGCGCACACCCCGCGGAACCAGGACCCTGTCCGCTGCCACAGGCCGGCCCAGCCCCCAAACTGGACTGACCCCCTTTAAGCCTGACCCTGACCCCTCCGAGCCCCCAGGTCAGGTGGCCTGCGCCCCGCCACTTCGACCCCTTTGCTCCCCCTGGTTCGCGACTCCGCAGTGGTCCCAGCCGCCAAAGTGTAGCACCCAGGGACCGACTGCGCCACGGTCCGGCCTGTAGGAACGGCCGGCGGCTTGGTTCTTGAGCAGGGATCCAGAGAAGTCCTGACTCCAAGCCTGCTGAGCCCCTTGTACCCATACTCGGGCAAGTCGACCCTACCTGTTCCAAAGTGTCCTGCGCACGCTTCACTCAGCCAGCCTCTTCCGGTGACCGCCACCCCTCACAGGCCCCTGAGGTCAAGGGGCTGCCGGGTGAGACCCAAGGCTTGTGGCCATCCTTCAGATGGCCTTCTAAGGTGTCGGGGTTCTCTGTGAGCCACGGCCACTTCTCTATGAGCTTGTTTAATGGTCCTCTCTCCACTTTGAACACTAAACAAAGAAACCGCTGTTAAGGTGAGAGAAGTCCTAGCCATGGCCTACAGCTTGTTTTATAGGGAAATTGTGACCCAGAGCCGGTCAAGATCAAAACCCAATTCAGTACCCTTCACAGAGGTGAACTGTGCAACCACACTTACCTAAAGTACAAATTTAATGTAATCTAACAAACTTAGACCCAACACAATTCTTAGTTCACCACAATATACAGCCAACAAAAGCTACCATTTACTCTCCTTGGGAACAATAAAAGAAAAAACAAGGATGAAGGTACATGTGTCCTAACAGATATATAGTTACTGCTATCAATTCAGTGTGGTAACAACCAAGAAACAGAATGCACCCTAGAAAGGGTAAGAACAATAGATTAGAAGGAGGGGAGCTTATCAGTCCCATGTGTGTTGTGGCACACACCTTTAATCCCAGGGAGACAGGCAGATCTCTGTGAGTTCCAGTCAGCCTAGTCTAAACAAGCAAGTTCCAGGCCAGCTAGGGCTACACAGTGAGACCCTGTCTCGAAAACAATATGTTTTAAAGAGCTATCAAACATCTATATAAAAGAAAATATCAATTATGAAGAAGAGGAAGATTCCACACATAGAGCTTAGAAATGGAGTATTTAAAAGACTCACTGCCTCAGCTGTGGTCATGCTCACCCTTAATCCTAGCAGTCAGGAGACAGAAGTAGGAAGATCCCAGTTCCACATCAGCATGGTATACATATTGAATTCCAGACCAGCCAGAGGAACATAGTGAGACCCTATCTCATGAAATAAAAACAACAACAAAATCACTAAAAAAAAAAAAAAAAGTCAACTGTCCTTCTAGCCAAAGAAATACAAATTAAAAATACAAGAGAATCATGGCCGGGCATGGTGGCGCATGCCTTTAATCCCAGCACTCAGGAGGCAGAGGCAGGTGGATCTTTGTGAGTTCGAGGCCAGCCTAGTCTACATAGTAAGTTCCAGAACAGCTGGGGCTACAAGGAGACCCCGTCTCAAAAAGACAAAAAAAAAAAATACAAGAGAATCATAAAATTGGCAAGTAAACACACACACACACACACACACACACACACACAAATGATTTATTTTTAAAAAAAAAACAAATAATCCTGAGCAAAAAGGGCAATGCTGGGGCTGGAGAGATGGCTCAGCAGTTAAGAGCACTGACTGCTCTTGCAGAGGACCCAGGTTCAATTCCCAGCACCTACATGATGGCTAACAACCAGCCATAACTCCAGTTCCAGGGGAATCTGATGCCTTCATCTGACCTCCAAGGGCATTGCACGACGAGTGCACTTACACACATGCAGGCAATACACTCATACACGTAAAATAAAAATAAACTATTTTAATAAAAAAGGGCAATGCTGAAATTACAGAAATACCTAATTTCAAGTTATACTACAAAGCCATAGGAACAAAAACAGCATGCCCCTGGCACAAAACCAGATATCACTCCTGTGATCCCAACAATCAATGGGGGTATTGTGAGTTTGAGGTCAGTTTGGGCTATGTGTAAGTTTCAGGCAGATCTAGGCCATAGGGTAGGTTCATTTGTAGTTTTTCAAGAGCTCTCCACACTGCTTTCCATAGGGGTTACACGAGTTTGCAATCCCACCAGCAGTGAATGAGCATTCCCCTTTCTCCATATCCATCAAACTCAGGAAGATCTGCCTGCCTCTGCCTCCCAAATGCTGGGATTAAAAGCTTGTGCCACCACGCCTGGCTTCAATTTTTAAATTTAAAAAGAATTATGTGTTTGAGCTGGGCGTGGTAGTGAACATCTTTAATCCTAGCACTTGGGAGTCAGAGGCAGGCGGATCTCTGTGAGTTCAAGGGCAGCCTCGTCTACATAGGAAGCTCCAGGACAGCTGAGGCTACAGGGAGACCCTGTCTCTAAAAGACCAAAAAAGAAAGAAAAGACTTTGTTTCAATAAACCAAAATAAATAAACAGACAAACCTGGCCATGGTGGCTCACTCCTGTTAGCCCAGCATTCAGGAGGTTCAGGCAGGAAGATTGAGTTTGAAACAAATCTAGGCTACGTAACCAGACCCTTTCTCAACAAAAAGTAAATAAATAAATGGATGCATGAACTGGAGAGACAGTTGTTAAAGGAAGTACAAATAACCAATAAATACATGAAAATATATTCAATATCTCTACCTTTAAAGGAATGCAAATTAAAATTTCTCGGGCATGGTGATGCACACCTTTAATCCCAGCACTTAGGAGACAGAAGCAGGCGGATCCCTGTGAGTTCAAGGCCAGCCTGGTCTACATAGTGAGTTCCAGGACAGCTGGGGCTACAGGGAGACCTTGTCTCAAAAAGACCAAAATATATATATATATATATATTGAACCTGGGCCTGGTGGTGCACACCTGTAATTCTAGCACTTGAGAGGCAGAGGCAGGCAGGTTTGCCACAAAAGCAAGGTCACCCTGATCTATGTAGTATGCTCCAGAATCAATAAAGCTGTATAGAAGACCTTGACTCAAAAACAAAACAAAGCTGGGCATGGAGGCACACGCCTTTAATCCCAGCACTTGGGAGGCAGAGGCAGGTGGATCTTTGTGAGTTCGAGGCCAGCCTGGTCTACACAGTGAGTTCCAGGACAACTGGGGCTATAAGGAGACCCTGTCTCAAAAAAGACAAAAAAAAATCTACATTAGATCCCATTTCAGTCAGAATAGCTGTCATTAATAAAACAAAAAATAAGTGCTGGTGATGATGGTAGTGATTTCTATTGTGGAAATGTAAATTAGCTCAGTCACTCTGGAAAACAGTATGTAGGCTTCTCAAAAAACTAAAACTAGAGGCTCGAATGATGACTCAGCAGGTAAAAGAGCAGTATGCTCTTGCAAAGGTTCAGTTCCCAGCACTTACACCAGGGAGTTCATAACTGCATCAAACTCTAGCTCCAGGGAATCTGAGGCCCTCACCTGGCTGGCCTCTTTGAACACCTGTGTACATGCCCACACACAGACATTCATATACATAACTAAAAATAATAAAAATTAGACAGGCATGTTACACTTTTAGTCCCAGTACTTGGGAGGCAAAGACAGATGGATAGCAAGTTCCAGACCAGTCTGGGCTATATAGTGAAACCCTGTCTCAAAATAAATAAACACATATGGAAAAAAAACCCTCTAAAACTAGGGAAGAGGGGCTCACAAGGCCCTGCTGGTCCCTGGGATCTATAGACAGTTAATGGTTGCTAGAGGTGGGAGAAACATTTTCTTCAGTGGTATAGGCACTGGTAAGTCACCCTGGCTCACTTATCTTCCTATAAGCAATCCTAAATACATTCATTGGGTCACAAAAAAAGAAAGCAGAAGAGGGATGAATTGGGAAGAAGAATAAGATCAGAGGAAGTGGGAGGGAGACCAGAAAAGGTAATGGGGTGATTATGATCAAAATACATTATATACATGTATGACAATTTCATGAAACCCATTATTGTATATAACTAATATATGCTATTAAAAAACTTGTAAAAAGAGCCGGGTGTGGTGGCACATGTCTTTAATCCTAGCACTTGGGAGGCAGAGGTAAGCAGGTCTCTGAGACTGAGGCCAAGCCGGTCTACACAGTGAGTTCCAGGACAGGTAGGGCTACAGGGAGACCCTGCCTCAAAAAGACAAAAAAAAAAAAAAAAAAAAACCAAAAACTAGCTAGGCATGGTGGTGCACGCCTTTAATATGGAATTCCAGGTCAGCTGAGGCTACAGGGAGACCCTGTCTCCAAAAAAAGACCAAAAAAAAAAAAAATACTAAAACTAAATCTACTGTTCATACAATATTTTACTTCAACTATGCTACTCCTGGATTATCTAGGTTACCTGAAGGACTCTAAGTCAGCCCACCACAGAGATACCTGCCCATCCATGTTTAGTGTGGCACTAATTACAATAGCCAAATTATGGAATCAGCTTAGATGCCCATCAACAGATGAATGGATAAAGAGACTATCATGGGACAGGCTGCAAGCTGTGGTTGGCTCCTCACTTCCCTTAGCAT